AGTTTCACCTCAAAAGCCAGAGGCTGCTCTGGAGAATTCCAGGGGAGATGCCGTTTGCAACATGCTTTTAGTAGTGTTTCTATAAGTATCAAGAATCAGGGCAACGTACCCCTATCTGTACTTTCCTTAATCTGTTTGAAGACCAAGGTGAAATCAGAGCAAGTTCTTTTCTTCTAACTGGGAGGTCTTTACACGGAGTACACTGATGTACCATATAAAGTACAACAAAAACACGCTGATCACCACCTCCTGCTTCCCTCTGCCCTCTTCTACCTGGTGAGGAGAAAGAAGACGGTTCTCAGCCCAAGGGATATTAAGGGTTACAGCTCTCCACCCTCTAGTTAAGGGTCCATTGATGACGGGGTAGGGTAAGGCGGAGGTGTAGCCTGCAGGTTCTGTGGGTGGGATGGCAATGGCACAGGCTGGACAGGTGTCCAGCATTAGGTTGCTTCAAGGGGAAGAGCAGAGTGCACCCCCTTTTACGGTGCTGGCACTGGCCAGCCTCTTATAAAGATTGGCCAGGCTTTCACTGGGTCGGCTATGCACGCCCAAATAACCTACCAATCCTCTCGAATTACAACACACACTTGAAAGACAAATATTTAAATGCTACAGATACGGTAATGAACATGCCATGTCCCTAACTTCATGGAAAGAGAGTATAAACTAAAAAATACATATATAATATGAAGAGAATAAAGCAGAGTAAGCAGAAAGTGGGTGAAAGGGGTAGGAGTGCGCCATTTTAGACAGTGGGGCCAGAGAAGGCCTTCCTGAGAAGGTGAATTTTGAGCAAATACATACGTTATCTCTCAGAAGGAGCCAGCTCTGCCGAGATCTGGGGAAGGCCGGTTGCAGGTGGAGGAAACAGCACGTAGGAAAGGTTGAGGCAGGGGCGGCTTGGCATCCTGAGGACAGGACGCTTGGTGTGGCCAGAGAGGCTAAGCAGGAGGAAAGGTCAGAGGTACCCAGGTCCTAGGAAAGGAGGGTGGGTTTTCTTACGGGTGTGATGAGAACTCATTGGAGGGTTTTGAGCAGGTAAATGCTGTGCTCTGGTTGATGTTTCTAAAAGGTCCCTGTACTGATTAGAGAATAGATTGTAGGGGAGCATCGTAGGGGTGATTCTGTAAGCAGACCAGCTAGAAGTCCCTTATAGTAACCCAAGTGCAAGAAGACTGCGGCCTGGACAGCAGAGAAACATTTACTCCTAAATTCAAGCTATTGCGCTCTACCCAAATTGCGTCATCTTGCTCTTATCTGAAGAGTTACAGATATCAAATGATTTAGGAGACAGTCTTAGGACCAAAATGGGGAAAAAAAAAAAACCTCACTGGAAGGCAGCGTTTGTTTGCAAAGCTCAGGCTCCAAAGGGTTTTTCCTCAGACCACTAACAAGAGGGTAGTTCGTGTACTTAGGGGAATTGACTCAGCCCTCGTAGTGGTGGAACGCTCTCTAGGAGAGGGGATGGCCGGAGGGACCCTGGAAAGACCACAAGAAAAGCCCCTAGTGAGCATGCGTATGGTTTTAGGAGTAACCCTGAAGAAAGAACGGGCTGCAGTTAACGTTCTCATGATGGTCTGGGCTGCTGGGGTCTGCAGACCACAGACCTCACGCTCCTGACCCCAGCCCCAGAGTGTGCTCCCTTCCCGACGATAGGTAGGAATCCCCTCTTCCACTGGGGACTCCCAGCATAAGGTTCTCAACTCCAGCCGCCTGATTTCACCCTGTTCCTGCCTAGAGAGCCCACAGGGGACCACGGAAGGCAGAACATGGGATACCAGAAGGCGAGTCTGGAGCCCTCCCTGTGGTCACTAGCTGAGGGCTTTTAACGTGCGTGGTGTGTTATCATCGCAGTCGCTCAGGCTCTTCCAGGGTCTGCACTGCCTCCTTGGACACGCGTCTTTCATACGGCCAGCTGCAGCCCCTTGGGGTTCCGGGAGGGCCCTGTCCCCTGTGCAGCCCGTGGCCAGGAGTCATTTGTGTCTCAGATACACGCAAGAAGGCTCCTCAGCATCTGTTGCTTTGTGTGTGTTGTTAACACTGTTCTGCATTCTCCTTTTTGCCCTTGTGTATAAACAGACCATGAAAGAATGCATTTTTTTTTAAACATCTTTATTGGGGTTTACACATTGCTTTACAATGGTGTGTTAGTTTCTGCTTTATAACAAAGTGAATCAGTTATACATATACATATGTTCCCCTATCTCTTCCCTCTTGCGTCTCCCTCCCTCCCACCCTCCCTATCCCACCCCTCCAGGCTGTCACAAAGCACCGAGCTAATATCCCTGTGCCTTGCGGCTGCTTCCCCCTAGCTATCTACCTTACTACGTTTGTTAGTGTGTATATGTCCATGACTCTCTCTCGCCCTGTCAAAGCTCACCCTTCCCCCTCCCCATATCCTCAAGTCCGTTCTCCAGTAGGTCTGCGTCTTTATTCCTGTCTTACCCCTAGGTTCTTCATGACATTTTTTTTTCCTTAAATTCCATATATATGTGTTAGCATACGGTATTTGTCTTTTTCTTTCTGACTTACTTCACTCTGTATGACAGACTCTAGGTCTATCCATCTCATTACAAGTAGCTCAATTTCATTTCTTTTTAAGGCTGAGTAATATTCCATTGTATATATGTGCCACATCTTCTTTATCCATTCATCCGATGATGGGCACTTAGGTTGTTTCCATCTCCTGGCTATTGTAAATAGAGCTGCAATGAACATTTTGGTACATGACTCTTTTTGAATTTTGGTTTTCTCAGGGTATATGCCCAGTAGTGGGATTGCTGGGTCATATGGTAATTCTATTTGTAGTTTTTTAAGGAACCTCCATACTGTTCTCCATAGTGGCTGAACCAAGAAAGAATGCATTTTTAATTTTTGTATCCTATATTTAAAAGAGAGCCTCTAGAGCTTCCTTCTCATGCCTTTTTGAGATCTGCCTCTTAACCTGGATTCTTATATTTGCATCTCAGACTCTCAAACTCTGCAAATTTCTTGGTATATTTAAAAACATATGCATCACAGTGTTAAGAGTAAAGATTAAATGGTTTCACAGCATCACAGTGGAGGGTACTGGATCCTCGTGTAACTTCCCTGCTTTGTGCAGCCACCTGAGAACCTTGACTTTTATGCAGTTGTATTTTCAGAGGTGATGGGCATTCACAGTGTCTGTTTCTTCACTTTTCTCCAGCTTAATGCTAAGGTGTTTCTAGGCAGGACCAGGACCTATCTGGACTTACTTAGTGTTTTTCCCTAAATGGATATAATTGTTGAGTTGTTATTACTGGTTACCCGATCCTTCCCCAACTTTGGTGTAGCAGGTTGTTCTAGCTTCATTTCAGGTTTTTCTGGAGAAACAACTGATCGCATTCTCCGTAGGGGAGTGAGGGCTGGGGCATAAGGCCTGTTTCTCGATGTGCGCGTAAACATTCCCTGTTGCTGTTTCACATTTGACAGACGTAGTGGTGATACCCTATCCTGGGTCCAGAAGCATCTGTGACTTTCATCTCACTTCATTTTAAATTCAAATATAGCAGCAGCCTCAAAAAACAATGAACCCCATTACTTCATAAATTTCTTGTGGCATTTACTACATTTACCATCTGTAATGCTGCACCTGTCTTCTCTCTCTCTCTCTGTTACACTGTGTTATATTGTATTATATATTACATACTATATATAAAATATTTTTTGTGTATTACACAGAACACACGCATATATGTATGTACTACATCTGTCTCCAGCCAAACTTCTCCTGTGCTACAGACCTGTCCATCTTCACCTAGCCCCACCAACCAAGACTCAGTACTTCTAAAATTGAACTCTTCCTCTTTTTTTTGCTTCTTCTCTAGTATTCCTTATCCCACTCACCAGAACCATCAGGTCATTTCTGGATCTCTGAGTCTGTTGATTCCACTTCCTAGGTGCTCTTACATCTGTTCTTTCTCCTGCCTCCTTAGTTTGTTTCTTGTTTAGACTGCTTCGGGAGCCTCCACAGCTCTTCTGCTTTCAGTCTTCTGCCCCTCTAACATTTTGCGTGGCCTACAGAATGCTCTTTCTAAGACATGACTGTGTTCTCTGTTCCCACAGGTCCATTCTGTGCCTTGCTCTCCCCTGCTCAGTTCCTGGAAGCTGGCCTCTGTGGGCTTCTTTGCCCTCTGGCTTCCGATTGGGTTTGGCAGATGAGAGGCACTGACGGGAGGGCGGGAGAGAGCTCCCCCTGAAGCTCTGGCAGGGCTTGCATCCCCTTAGACTACTGTCCTCTTGGCTCTGGTAACAACGGGTCCTCCCTTTGCCATTTCAGGCCTAGGGATGTTGAAGGCTTTCTGCTCTTGTTGGTGCCTGGGAACTTCACGGTTCCTTGTTGTTAATGCCTTAACCCTGCCTACATCTTCACCGAACTCTTCTCAGTGAAACCCTTTGGAATGTCAACAGTGTCTTGCTGAGACTTTGACACTTACCTAAAATCCTTCAATGCTCTGCTTTCTGCGGGAAGTCCACCCTCCTCAGTGTAACAGAAACCACCTAGCTCTCTAGCTTCAGGTGTTGAAATGTCCTGTGTATTCCCTACACTCTGTCCTCGTGAATGGCCGAAGCACTTCCATGATTTCCCTCATCTCCATGGTTCTGTACACATTTGTCACCCCACCCCCTGACTTCTGTCTCGCTGCCTCTGACTGTGCTTCAGTGCTCCTCTCACGTTTCCTCCTTTCTGGGAAGCCTCCCTCAATCCTTGCCCTCTACTTCAAGATTGAAGAAGTGCCTATTCTCCATGCTCTTGCAGTCCCTCCATCTGTCATAAGAGTATTGGTACTGGACTGTAATCTTTTTGTCTGCCTCCTGCTAGATTGGAAAGACTGAAGGACTATAATTACCACGTAGAAGAATTTACTGGCCATAGACTACAAAAACAGCCATCATTAACCCTGTGAATAAAAAAGAAAGAAGATAAGATTCTGGGCAATTACATATTTAGGAAATACATTCTTTTTTCCGTTTCTCAGTTGCAAGATGTAAAGCTTTGAAGGAAATGGATTTAATTAAAACGTCTCAGTCAGACTGTTACTGCTACAATCAAAAATCCCAAGTGAAATGGAAGTATATGTGGTCAACTGTGCAGGTAAGAGCCTACTTTCAAATTATGTCTTAGGGACAGGGAGTTAAAACGTACTATTTCAAGAGTAGAAGTAGCTTTTGTATGACATAGAGCTGTGTATCAGTATGAAAGCTGCCTGGGGGATTACACACAGCAGTTCAGGTTGGGGGGGGGGGCTATGGGAGGGGACATTAACCTCCATACTCTTCATCAGCCCCTCTCCAGCCACTCCAAGTAGATATACTATCTGAGTGCAGTGTGCTTGCTGTTCGGACATGGCTCAAGACAATACCCTCTTGCCTACTTTCCAAAATAATTGCTATCTCAGACCCTTCTCTATAGAAATCTGAAGTTACCTCTGATCCCAGGTGTGGTCAAGATAGTAGTTACTCTTAATAGCCTAGCACTTTCCTTCCTTCAGCATTTAATGAATATTTATTAAGCACCTACTAAGTGCCAGGAATTCTTCTAGGCTCTTAGGATCCATCAGTGAACAAAATAGATCCCCGCTCCCGTGATGTTTACACTCTTGGGAATGGGGGTAGGGGGTAGGGTGGGGTTAGCTATAAATGTAAAAGAGGAGAAAATTATAAAACTAGTAAGTGCTATAAAAAAAAGAAAATGTAGAGTAAGATAAGTGGAATGAGGCGGGTGGAGGCAAGTTGCAGTATTAAAAAGAGTGGTCAGGGTCTTTCTCATTGAAAAGGTGACACATGAGTAAGATCTCAGTGATGTGAGTTACCCAACAGGGTATCTGAGGGAAGAGTGTTCTGGCTGAGGGAAGAGCTAGGACATCATCATATCAATAGACACTTGATGTTGCTTTGTACTATTACTGATAATATACACCACTTTGGTCACTTGGTTAAGGTGTTATCTGTCAGTTTACAGTTTTACCACTGTAAGATAACTATTTTCACCTCTGTTATGAATGACTATTTTGAGGGGATAATTTGAGACTATGTATATATTTTATTCCTCATCAAACTTTTACCCCCTAGTTTTATTATCTGTTGATGATGCTTGCCTGAATCAGTTATCATCACGATGTTTATCAAATGGTGATTTTCTAACTCCATTATTCCTTCTACATTTCACTGGCATTCTTCTATAAGGAAGAGTTTTACCTCCCCAATTTATTTATATCCATATAGTTTCATGGATTGCCAATTCATTTGCTGGACTACAATTCCTTACTTTTATTATTTGTTTTGTTATTCAAATTGTCCCAGATTTGGCCAGTAGGAGCCCCTTTGAACTAGCCCTTATGTTCTTTAACTTGTGCCTATCATTATTTGAGCACTTCTTTACCTTCTGGCAAACAAGATGTTCCCAAGCTTATCCTGTAATTTCTTAGACGCAGCTCTGGAGTCATACATTTTTCCAAGGAGCACTCAGTGTCAGGTGTGTTCATTACTACCGGATATCATTATCATATGTGTATGTACACACCCATACTCCTATACACATGGCTGTTTCTTCCTAACTTTCTTTCTTCTTACTTCCTGTCTATCTGTCTTCAAAAACCATGAATTCTGATCTCTCCAACACCACTGGGTTCACTCTAGTCTTTCTCCTTTCCATATCTATAACTCTCTTCTCTGATTGTGAGAAACCTGGTTCCCATTCTCATCAATATATTGATTTATTTGCCTAATCCTAGAGTAATTTCAGAGTTGCTAAGCCATACTGTTTTGAAAAACAAACCTAGTAACAAGAGCTCAGTATTTGTTTACAGTGTGTTTTATCTTTAGTTTGAGGGGTCACAGTCTAAATATTGTGCTCAAAAGTTAGTTGGGTTAATTCATTCCTACCCATCCCCCTTCAATATGGTTATATTATTCATTTGAAATACACTTGTTTTTATTTGTTTCCATTTCAGAGTTTTTCCTCATCCTGGTTGATTTTATTGTCATTATTTTTTAGTATGTACAATATTAATATGGCTCAAAAGTCAAAACTACACAAAGGTGTTCTCAGAGAAGCGTCACTCCCCCTCATCCCTTCCCACCCAACCCATGTGGGTAATCAATCTTGTTAGTTTCTGGTATATCTTTCCTGTGTTTCTTTTTACAAAAGTAAGTGGTGATGCGTATTTATAGATGGTGCTTAAAGCCATGGGACTAAGGAGTGAGTTTAGACGGAGAAGAGGAGAGGACCAGCGACTGAGCCTGGGTCAGTCAGATATATTAAGAGGTCTGGGAGGAGGAAGGGGCCAGCAGAGGAGAGAGAGAAAGGGCAACAAGTGAAGGAGGTGCCCAGGGAGCCCCAGGAAGTGCGACAGGGAGGAGGGAGTGATCAGCAGCGCCAGACTCTGTTGATGGATCAGATAGAATGACTGGGAATGAGTTGACCATTCGGTTTAGCAACACCATGCCACTGATGACCTTGTCAGGGGCAGCCTGTTGGAAATGAAAGCCTGACTGAAGTGGCTAAAGAGAGAAATGGGGGAGAGGAACCGGAGGCTGCAGGTATTGGCAACTTTTAAAAAGAATTTTATTGTAGTGGGAAGCGAGGAAAGGGGGTGATAGCTGAAGGGGAAAATGGAGTCAATAAAAGGGTTTTTTGTGTTTTTCTTTTAGTGGGAAAAATGCCAGCATGTTTGTAAGCTGATAGGAATGGTCTAGTAGAGTGGGAAGAAGTACTGGTGGGATGTCCTTGAGTAGCAAAGGTGGGTCGGATCCAGTGCACAGGTTGGGGGCTTGCCTTTAGAATGGAGCCTGTAAATCTCCGTGGCAGAAATTTCCTCTGGAAATGCACAGGCCAGAAGCAGAGCATGTGCCTGCAGATATGGGGATATGGGGATAAGAGCCCTCCCTGTTCTCTTCCGATTTCTTCTGTTCTCCGTGAAGTAGGAAGGATCACCAGCCAGAAGTGAGGCAGGGAGAAGTTATTGGGGTATTGAGGAAGGAGAAGCCGTGAGGTCATCGTTGAAGAGAGTGGAAGAGCCACTGGATAGGAGTGTGTGCTATGATTGCCAGCAGCCTTCCGGTCCTACTTCAGGTTCACAGTCAAGGGTTTGAAGTGAGCACTACGAGTTTCTCCAGCATGATCAGTGGTGTAGATGCAAAAGTGGAATAGGTGGAGGGTTGGATTTTGCAAGTGAGTGTGACAGAGCACGAGGGGTACAAACAAGTTAAGGGTACATATAAGGGAATGCTTTATAATGATTGATCATGGAACTTAGCTGGAAAAGAAGGGGCTGAGGACATCAAGGGTGAGGAGCAGAGGAAAGGTGCTTGCTCCCTGCTGGGGTTAATGCTTGCTGGGGTCGGGGTGTTAAGGGAGGCACGCTGGAAAGGTAGGAGGTGGTGGTCAGCTAGTGGGGTGTATTTCATGCAGCCTGTATTGGAGGCTGCAGTGTGGGACTGACAAGATTGGGGTGTGGCCGCAGGCATGATTAGCTGAGGTGAGTGGAGCATAAGAGAGGAGGAGTTCAAGGAACCAAGAGGACAGGATATTGGAAGGAGTTTTGTGTGTATCTTGTGTATATTTAATCCCGGAGACATGACAGGAAGTAGTATTGGAGAGAGAGCAGCAGAGAGCCAGGAGCTAAAATCCAAGAGAATCGGGGCGTTGGTAGACAGATAATGGGTGATTTCACCTGAGGCCTGAGATTCAGAGCTGGTGCTCTCTTTCTCCTTTTCAGGCTTGCCGTATCCTTGGACAAAGAAGAGAAATAGAGAGGGACAAAGGCAGCAGCAGAGTTGTCCTTTAATGGTCCCTGGGCTGTCATCACCTGCTTAGTATTGTAGGTGGTTCTTTGCTGTGAGACTTGAGTAGCACCTGGGGTTGGGTTCTGATCCTTCTTCAGCGGGCATGGTGAGAGAAGCCTGAATCACATATGCTCAGCTGATCTGTAAGATAGAAATGCTTTTTTCTCAGTCACAGTAGAAGTGGTAGATATATAAACCCTATTCTCATTAGGTTTATAACCAAATAGTTTGCTACCTATTATTTTCTATCTCATCCATTTTCACATGTCCCTTGGCCACAATAACCTGCTGGAAGAGGGAATTCCATCATCCACAACTCAGGGGAAGAAACATCCACTTTAAGTGTCTGTGCTCCAGTGTGTGTTGACTAAACACAGATCTCTGGATCTGTCCCTGGGATCAGAATGTTGCCAAGTACCTCTGAGTGTTCTTTATTCAACCAGTCTTGGGCTCTCTTTACTCCTTTTCTCATGATTTTAAGAAGCTTATAAGAAGTTTTAACTTCTGTGTTTGTGAATTTGTTTGTTCTTGTTTTGTAGGTGAAAATTACCAGTTCAGGCCTGCTCAGTATTGTATATATCACAGAAAGATATAATTGCCAGTATCCAGAAACCATTCTATCTATTATCAAATGTGTGATTCATAACCTTTGGACACCAAAGGAGTCTAATGATATAACCATAACCATCAATCCATATGGGGAGACTGTGTGCTTCTCTGTGAAGCCTGCCAGGAAGATATTTATCTATACCGTAAGAGTGAATCAAAACAGTAAGTCTCTTTTTATTATACTTGATTTCTGGAATCAGTTTTTCTGGAGTGACATTTCAGTAAATTGACTTTTTTTCACTACGCTACATTGACACAGAATCTTTGTTTGTTGTGTGTCTGTGTCTTTTTTGCTCCAGTTGTGGATTTCAAACTCTTCCTTGTGTTTGTGGCGGGCATTTTCCTCTTCTTTTATGCAAAGACCTTGAGCCAGTAAGTATTCATTTTTACTTTCTTAAATTTGTGAATCAAAAAGAGTAGGACATTTTTAACCCTGTGCTGAATAGTTCCACACTAGTTTGTAGGTCTTGCTTTAGATTTTGCAAACAATTGGTCTGAAGACAGTGTTTGAAAGGTTTTAAAACCAGTAACATTTGTTTGTATAGTATGATATGTACTGGTTACAGAGTACTTTCACATGCATTACTTTGTATTATGTATCAATATACATTTTTTTAATAGATTTATTTTATTTTAATTAATTTATTTTTTGGCTGTGTTGGGTCTTTTGTTGCTGCGCACGGGCTTTCTCTAGTTGCAGCGAGGGGGGCTACTCTTCGTTGTGGTGCTAGGGCTTCTTATTGCGGTGGCTTCTCTTGTTGCGGAGCACAGGCTCCAGGCGTGCAGGCTTCAGTAGTTGAGACACACAGGCTTCGGTAGTTATGGCTCACGGGCTCTAGAGCGCAGGCTCAGTAGTTGTGGTGCACGGGCTTAGTTGCTCCGTGGCATGTGGGATCTTCCCAGACCAGGGCTCAAACCTGTGTGCCCTGCATTGGCAGGCGGATTCTTAACCACTGTACCACCAGGGAAGCCCCTATACATTATTTTAATTGATTTGATTCTCTTAACAACTATGTGAGCTCTGGATTATTGTTCTCAATTTATAAATGAGAAAACCGACATCCGTCAGTACATGAGTAGTCTTGCCAGGGCTGAAATTTATACTCAGGTTTTCTGATGCTGGGTGCCTTCCTCTCTCTTACATTTGCACCACCTCCTAGATTTGTGGCTCTGATACAGAAGGTTGAATTTAACATATTATCCTGATACTTTTTTTCTTATAACTTCTCTCATGAAAAAGGAATTTCTTTCCAATAATATTTTACTTCTTAACTTGCTATTCTGGACATTATTTATTTTCAAGTTTTTCCTTATGGCTTAAGAGAGTGTGTTTCATGTCCTCCATGGTCTTAATAAATTGGATGTTGCTTACATAGCCTGAAGAGTAAAGCTTGGACTCAGAGGAGATGGGCTGCAGGCCTGAATCCTCCAACTGACAGGTACTGACTTGGGAAAGCCTTTAATTTCTTGGCGCCTTAGTTTCCTCCCATGTAAAATTTTCACAAGACTGTTGTGAGAGCATGTTAAGCTCTCAGACAAGTGCCTGCTATGTGATAGGTGCTCCAATAATTATTATTGGACCAGATTCTAAACATAGAAGATAACTCAGACATTCTGTTTCGAGTTAGTGGCAAGCTACCATAAATTTCAAGTAGAGATTTCATTTTTTAAGAGTATAGGATGTAATTAAAGCTGCCATCTGAGTTTTTCTTCTTAATAATCTTTATGACTACTGTCAAGTTAAACATGTTTCTAATACTGAAAGAGCGACTTGGCATTTAAATGGCTTTTATCTGCTTGTCTTGACAGGAGCCCTGTTTTCTTTTACTCTTCGGGGACTGTGCTAGGTATTCTAATGACATTAGTCTTTGTCCTGTTGCTGGTGAAAAAGTTCATTCCTAAGGTAGGTATACCATGTACAAATGAATAAAAAAATGGAAATCATGATCTCATAAACATGAAAAATTGATTAAAATTAATTCACATTTATTATGAAAGTTCCTAATTCAAACCGTATTTCTACATTGTATAAACTGGCTTAAATTGTATCTTTTCCAAGAGATTCCATTTTTATTTATTACTATGTGTAGGCTTAAGTTTTGGCGATACTTTTTTTGAGACCCTTTTATTTTCTAGATAATACGTTTTTCTTATGAGTGATGGGGGCTTATTCTATGCTGAGTGCAGATTTCTCTTGGCTCAGCTGAGGAATGTCATGATGCTGAACCATTGGGGCCTTGAATAACAGCATTGCTACATCTGGGGATTTCTTCATCATTATTAGTTCCCCCAAAACACCTTCAATAAAAGAATGCCTGGCATTTAGTTGAGGATACATATATATTAGTTCATGATGCTCATGTTGTAGTTACTCTGATGAAAGCTTGCAACACCAGCATTATTTTGAGATAAATTTATTCTTTAGAACAGTGCTTCTCCAACTGTAATGTACATGCAAGTCACCCGGGGGTCCTGTTGAAATGCAGACTCTGATTCAGGAGTCTCAGTGGGCCTGAGAGTCTGCATCCCAGCAAGCTGCCAGGTGACATCGAAGCTGCTGGTGCGTGGATCAGACCTTTAACAAGACACAAGAAGAGTTATCTTGAGTTGACTTCAATGCAGTTTGATATAGAAGTTTTGAATACAAAGGGTTTATTTGTTTCTTTCTATTTTTATGAGAGTGAATGAACCAAAAACTGTGTCATTTATTTTCTTCCACACACAGTATAGCACGTTTTGGGCTCTAATGGTTGGTTGTTGGTTTGCTTCAGTTTATATTGTGTGGCAACTGATGGAAGAGCTGAAGTGGCTGTGGTGTCAAAACAGAATATATATATTAGGTAGGTAAAGCTTTAAATAATATGGTCTATTATTGGTAAAGCTGAGAATTACAGCCAGGGGCCTTCTTTTGACATACGTTTCTCTCCAGAATCCAAATTTTCATTTTGAACTAAGGAGAAGAGCTGTTAAAAATAATATTTTATTTTATTCCCATGCTTGGTGATTTCAGTTCACTAGTTCCCATTTTAGACTATTTCTGTATGACATCCTTCTTAGTTTTCTATACTAATGATCAAAAGAGCAAAAAAGCATTTGCCCTTTTTGACTGCATGTGCTTTTGGGTTGTGGTTAAGCTCTAACCACATCTAAATTGTAATGAAAACACTTCTCTAAAATGTGGCTCTTTATTTCTTTTTCTTAATTTATTCAGTATGAAGGTGAGAAATCCTAAATATAAATGACTAATGAAAACTTGACTTTTCAGAAACAGAGACACTTGTTCTTCTTGTTTGATGTTATTTTAAAAAACAAACAAAAAAGAAAAACCCAACTTTTTAAAGTGTTTTATTTGGGAAATTATAGAGAATGAGAGAATCAATTTTCTCCTAACCTCTTAGTGCCAAATTTCTTCCGTAAGTCCACCCACCCAGAACAAAAGTAATCAATCCTTTGTGTTTCACTTGAAGGTTTTATGTTTTTAGCCCATTTTTCTTTTTACGCTAAAGTATTTTCAAAGTTAATTATTGCTATTATGGTGTGTTTCCTTAAATACTTCACTAAGCATCTCTACAAGGCAAGAGCATTTTCCTCTATAGTTAAATAACTATTAAATGAATAATTACATAAAATCATCTATTATCTAGGCCATGTTCAAATTTCCTAAACATCCTTGATGCTTGTTTTGTATAAGGTAGGATATAGTCCAGAATCACATTCTGCATCTATTGTGTCCTGTAAGTCTCTTTTAATCCATAACAGGTTTTGGGGTGTTTTTTTTCCCATCACAATGATATGCTGAAGAGACCAAGTTGTCCTATAGAATGTCCCACTTTCTGGATTTCTCTGATTATTCCTTTGTAGTATAATTTAATTTGTTTCTCTGTCCCCTGTATTTTTTATAAGCTGGAAGTTAGATCTTGAGGCTTGCGTACATACAAATGAAACACTTGGCGAAATACGTAAGAGGCAATGTGCACGTGACGTTGGATCACAACAGGAGACACCACAGAATATCTCACTGTCCCTCTTTTGGTAATACAGAAACTGAGCATTGGATTACGAGGGTGACAGCCCCATCCCTGCACTGTAAAATTATATTTTCATTTAGTGACTAGAAAATAAAAGTTAGGAATAGCTTTTGTAGCAGACTGTGACATACACTGAGGCTTATTCCTGACCAAAGCAACTGTGATAACATTTGCCCTCTAGGACTCTGGACCAGAAAATAGGGATACTTACATATTAATATTATAATAATTTATTATTATACATCCTTAATTATTACAAAAGTCAGCCTAATATCTCACATGGAAGGAATAACTAGCCCTAAATGAATTTTTCAACTTCATTGGAAAAAGAAAACAAAAATGAAGGTTTTCTGATATGTTCTTAGCTCTAAGCCATATGGCTCTGCCGGTTTTTTCCCCATAACTTTTCAGTTCAGTGTTATGTTGTTTTACATTCTTCTGCTTTTACAGGCTACGTCTTGATAGTTGGGTGTCTCAGCTTTACTGTTTGTTACAAGCACGGGCCCCTCGTGGAGAAGAGGAGCATGACCCTCTTGGCGTGGGCGCTGCAGCTCCTCTCCCTGCTCCTGGTCTATGCTGGCGTGGCCATTCCTCAGTTCGCCTATGCAGTGATGCTCCTCACCCTGTCGTCCAAGATCCTGCACTACCCACTGAGAGCACTCGCTTACGTGAGATGGTGAGTATCTTTTTTTTTTTTTTTTTTTTTTCATCATAAATTTGACATTTTGAGCTCTGGTTTTATTTATTTTGGGGGGGGGGAATTTTTTGGACACATCATAGTTAATCTCACAATTAACTCCACTTCATCTGGATATTTCCCTCTGAGAGGGGGACAGTTAGAGAACGTAATAAGCATCTGATTCCATCCCCATTGCTAGTCGTCGTTCATCTTTCAGAGGTGCACCACCAATTACTAGGTAATGACAGCTCACCCAGAATTCACTAAAATCAGTGGCAAAATTACTTGGGCTCGGAGTCACCTATAATTTCTACTTCCATTCTACGTTTCCTTTTTTTAGGGCCCAGGACTGCTTTAGAGGTAATTGTGCATATGAGATAAGAGTTAGGGAACAGAAATGAATCACAAATGATTGAAAGTTATGATTTATATAATTCGGTTAAGCCTTTGGAAAGTACAGAAAGAAAGACGAGACAAGTTCTGTTGTCACGGCTTTATGATGTCCTCAGTCACGGAGTCTGAGCACCTGTTTTTGTGTCAGGTGCACAGGTGAAGGAGATGGTCCCTACCCTTGAGGTGCACTTGTTGACACGTAGGCATATGTTTCTATAGCTCTGAAGTGTTAAAGTAGGCCTGCACAGGAACTGTGGTGTGTAGAAAAAGTTCAGGAAAGTTCCTGGAGGAGGTCACTGTGCTGAATTTTAATGAATCAAAACAGCCAGATGAATAAATATAGGAAGGGCCTTCCTGACGGGGAGAAAGGCCAGTTTGGTACCATCACAGGGCCAGTGAGCGAGGTGGGTGTCGGCCAGGTCATGGAGGCATCACAGGCCCTCCTGGAGAATCTGATCTGATCCTGTAACGTGGCGGAGGCAGCTGACCGTTACGTATCTTCGTCAGTGCTCTCTGACTACTGCCTCGACAGGGTTAGAAATCAAATGCCGGGGCCCAGAAGGTAGTGAAGGAATGAGCCCGAGCAGAGGGAAGGCAGTGGTGAGGACTGTGTGAAATTCTACAACATTGCCTCCTTGAAAGGGGGTCAGTTGCCATTCACCCTGAGCTGACTGTTGCCATGTGGGAATATGGGCCTTGCCTTGCCAGCTCTTCTGGTTTTCTAGAAAAGCTGGGAATGTGGATTAGAATGTAAATTCTGACAATGTTTAAATGTTGGCATCTAATTTGAAAATAAAAATACATTCAACAAGCAAAAATCAAAGCAGAGACCATGAACATGCCTCGGGCAGTAGGAGGGGCCCATCTGTCTTCTGGCACAGAGGGTGGAGGTTAAGGGGAGGTTCCGGGGCAGGAGGCCAGTCGTCAGACATCACAGCAATCCACGCAAGAGGCGATGAGGGCCTGGAGTAGGGCAGTGAGATCAAGGCAGGAAGAGGGAGTTAATAAATATTTACAAGCTAAACTTGGCTGTGAGGAAGGAGACTCTGTGGTAACTGGTAGTTTCTGGATCTGATGACTGCATGTGTGGTGACCTCACAGGGTTAAAATGCACCAGCGACAGGGCAGGGCCCCTCTGCAGAGGACGCTGGGGAGACTGAAAGGCAGCAGGGTCGGGGGACTGATGCTGACTGCTTCCCCCTGCCCTGTCTCAGAGGTAGACAGTGACTGGGGGTCTCAGAGGTCCCTCTGTCAGGAGGACAGTGGCCACTACACATCCTTCAGACCTCTGGTCCTTTGCCAGGCTTGTGGCCCAAGGAGCCCAAGAGAGAATTCCTTCCACTTTCCCTTTAAACATCCACTGCCCTGCCAAGAGCAAAGTGTGTTCTGTCACGGTGATCCTTTAATGCATTTGCTGTGCGTTCTGTTAACACAAACGTAATGATCAAAATATTGTTAACTTCCTCAACTTTTCATCTTGCTAGTGAGTAATTATGTGAAACATTAGGGGATAAAACAGGAACTTATAGGTTAAATAATAAACCAGAGGAAATACTTTGATTTGTATAGTACTTTCTAGTTTGCAAAGAGCTGTTTGAATATATTTTAATAATATATGGTAGCTGTTCTTCTGATTATCTTTGTTGAACACTTATTATAGACCACTCAGTGTGCTAAGCACTTGACACAAAATAATGTATTTCATCTGTACAGTGACCTCCTTGTTGCTTTCATTTTTTTCCATGTGAGCAAGGTGAGGCTCAGAACTGTGAAGGAATTGCCCCAGTTCACACGGTGGGTAAACCTCAAAGCCAGGACTGTGTCCCGGGCTTCTCCTCAGAGCCCAGGAGTTTTCCTCTAGGGAGACAGTGTAGGTATTCAGAAAAGAAGAAGGAAATCATGTCAGTGGTTCCCTAATTGAGCTCATCAACCACCAGACAATCAATAAAAGTTTAAAGATTTTTCAGGTCCCAAACCTCAAGAAAATGTATGTTTAAAACACCTCCTGGTGATTCTGATGCTCATTTATATTTGGGAATCTCTGGTTAAATTAAATTTTAAACCACCTAAAAACATTTTTTTAAACTCATTGGTAAGTATAACATATATGTTAAAACCTTTTCATCATTACCATTTTTATGAGATTCTTCACTTTAGGACTTTTTTGCTTGGAAAAGAATTCCAATCGTGAGCCCCTCAGCATGTAGCAGAGGAAGAATTATTATAAATGACTGTGTATACACGACCCTTGTACAGTGTTTACTTCCTCTAAGGTTAGTCAGAATCCCCACCACTAGGTGGAGGCGATATTCCACAAATCTTCCCGGCTTCTCTGTTCAGACTAAGTGGCAAGTGATTCTGCTAGGTCTCCATAAAAGGACATCTCAGAGGCTTGCTGCTAAGAAAATCAGCAGGGCAGGCATAAAGAAGCCAGACTTTTAACTGCCTGATTTGAAATCACTGAGGAAGAAAAATGCAATCAACATCTCTATCGGAAATCGATCCTCAGACACCGTAGGACATTATTTCAGATGGTCCAGGAAGAGGGGAAATGTACTGATAGGCCCAAACTACACGTTCTGTAAACCTCCGTCATGATAACAATAAAGTATAGTATGATATAGAGGAAGTTAAGAATTATTACCGTTACTGTTGAAGAAATGTATTTTTATAAATCTTAAGGGTTGAATTGAGCAACCAAATATGGCCAGGAATCTAGCAACCAAATGCCGCCTGTTTTAGGAAAATGAAGAAATGGTTTACATCAGAAAAGCCGGTGGTTAAGTTTCTTACTGAAGACGAGTACAGGGAACAAGCCGATGCTGCGACGACCCACGCCCTGGAGGACCTGCGCCAGGCCTGCCGCAGCCCCGGCTTCCCATCCTGGCTGGCCGTCTCCAGGCTCCGGGCGCCTAAAATGTAAGCCCCGCTCCACTGCCCGCAACACAGCTTGGGTTGGAGTTACCATGAAAATAACATGATGGTTTGGATCAGATACTTCAGGCTAGAAACAGACAACTTCCCTGGATAGTAAATGACGTGGAAGCTGTCAGAGTCGCTTTTGCTTCAGTGCTCTGCCTCGCCCTGTGGAAGTGCCAGTGTCAGAATAAATGTTGATCAGATGTGTTTCATAGGGAAGGCCATAAAGATAACTCATAGGAGAAGGGAGACAGAATGGGATGTGTCACCTGCTTCTCTTCCTACAGGGGACGAAAAGTCATTTGTAAAGGTCACCAAGAAAGACATCTCTGCCCCAGCATCTTTTCCCTACTGCTTTCCCTTCTTCCTAGCTTTATCCAAACGACAGTGCCCTCAAATTAAAGATTGAAGGGGGAAAGTCGTGACACTAAAATAATAAATAGTACATTTAATAAGAAAGAGAGAAAGAAGGAATTAGAAAGCAGGAGTGGGTATATTTGGCAGCGTTTGGTGCTCCTAAGTCTGCCTACTTCTCGATCCTTTCCCTGAACGTCTAGAGAAGGATCACATAAGCCATTCCTGTTTTTACACCCACTGTGCAAATGCCATCCTCTATTGATGCAAAGTCAAATTTAATTAAAGGGGATAAGTAGCCAGGGAACATGTTATCTTCCCAATAAACCTCTCTGTGATAACATTAACTTTATTTAAAACAAATACTAGGTTTGCAGACTTTGTTCTTGGAGGAAGCCACTTGTCGCCTGAAGAAATTAGGCTGCATGAAGAACAATATGGCCTTGCGGGTGCCTTCTTGGAAGAGCAGCTCTTTAACCTGAGGACTCCTGACAGTCTGCCTGCACACTGACTTCATTCTGGACAAGGAAGTGGGGAAGGGCAGGGATCCTATTAAAGGTGGGCAGAACTGTACCGGGGAACAGTGGCAAAAGCATTCACTATGGAGAAAAATCAAGTCACACTGGAAAGGAAAACTAAACTGTATTGAAGATAACTGATCCTTCTTGGACAGTTCTGTGTGTTGTACTGTAGGTGGCCACCAAGATTCTGTGACAGTCATTACCACTGTCCTTGAATGAAGACTCTCATTAGGAACAAAGGGATCATGTTGATCTTCAAGGGGCCGGTTAATTTGAATAGGTGCCTTGTCAACTGCAGGGCATTATCCTCTCTTAATCCCCAGAACCTGTGTCAAAAGACTCTGCATTGCTCTTCCTGCGTGTTATCAATGTAAGTGCTGGAAGAGACCTGAGATACACTGGACCAGTATTTTCCAAAGTGTAGTCCACAAGATGCTAATAAGTGTTAGTAGGTAAAGGAATCCTGAGGTCAACTAAGATGGATGCATGATTAAATGTACTGCAGGACTTCTCAGAGCCTTTAATAATGCTAATGCACACCGTGAACTTCCTAAAGAGGAGAAATTGTGTGCAGCATTCTCCGGCTTAATTTGACAGCAGAACCCTTTTTCATGAGATTAACATTTCTTGGAACACATGTTTGGAAAATGCTGATGGTGGAGGAATGGAGGTTTCAGAAGGTTAAATAACTTGTCCAAGACCACAGGGCTTTTTAGAGGTAGCCCTGGGACTAAAACTCCATCCCTACTGTTTCCAATGACTCAGGTAGAAGAAGAGACCTTTAGAAATGAGGCGCCATCTCGCCACAGCCTTGGGTCTCACAGTATTGGTGTGAGGGGCCATCTCTCCATAGCCTTGGGTCTCACAATATTCATGACTTATTTTTTATTTTTTAATAATAGCCAACTAACTGTTTGATAACTGTGATAAAGAGAAACATTTCCTATGGTTATATTTTAAAGTTTTGATAAGACTTTTATAGACATATATAAAGATTAGAATTTAGAATTACTTTTTACATTTTTTTGTATGTTGAAATTGAAGGCATTTAACCTCACATCGACTGGCCTGTTTTATTTTATTTTATTTTTACTCCCTAAATTCAGGTCTCAATAGTGTTCACACCTGAATTTCTACAACAATTCTGGCTTGGTTTTTTTTTTTTGGCTGCATTGGGTCTTTAATTGCTACACGTGGCCTTTCTCTAGTTGTGGCGAGCAAGGGCTACTCTTCGTTGTTCGTTGCAGTGCATGGGCTTCTCATTGCAGTGGCTTCTCGTGTTGCAGAGCATGGGCTCTAGGCTTGGGGGCTTCAGTAGTTGTGGCACACGGGCTCAGTAGTTGTGGCTCGCGGGTTCTAGAGTACAGGCTCAGTAGTTGTGGCGCACGGGCTTAGTTGCTCCGCAGCATGTGGGATCTTCCCGGATCAGGGCTCGAACTCGTGTCCCCTGCATTGGCAGGCGGATTCATAACCACTGCACCACCAGGGAAGCCCCTCGACTGGCCTATTTTAAAAAATTGTTTAGTTATACGTGTTTATAACAATTTCCTACAAAACAGATTTGTGATCTTTCTTATAGAGAACAAATCATTTTTCTTCTTGTGCTTCATGATTTTAGACTCCAGAGTGAAATGAGGGACTAACCATGAGCTTTGACCCTGAGGAAAAGAGGCCAAAACATAGGTCTGGGAAAAGATCTGAACATGGCAAAACAATCCAAGGGTTAAGATGTTGCTAACTTCTCTTTAAGAATCAAACGCAGGCTCTTTTGCTGTGGTGGGGCCATAAAGAGTAGCAGCATAAAGAATGAGGAATCTCCCTTTTCTAGAAGGGTTATGGAGGAGGGACACACAGATCACTTAGGCACTGCTTTCCGGAACCAAATTTAGTATAGCGTTTTTCTAAATTGTTCAATAAGAGTGTGGCTGCCTGTTTGGAATTCTTTAGATTGATTTCCAAATGATATTTCCTCTTTGAAGCAGTGTGTCAGTGTTTTACGGGTCTCTATTTTTGCCAGACACCTTTTAATATCAGGAGCTTTGCTATTTTTGTGAAATACACTAAATTTAATCTGTGCTTTCACATAGACTTTGATATAAAAAATCAAAGTGTCTTCCATTCAGATTTATGAAGATGATGACTTTTATAAGTGTAAACAGTTGTAATAGCGTTTTTGTTACAGTTTAATCTGATTTTTATTGTTTTGTAATTCTATTTATTGGTGCTATATTTTAAACGTATCAGATGTGTTTGTGGTTGTGCTCACCAAGAGACGGTGTGTGTACTACATAATGTGTGTGTGCATAACGTGTGCAGTCTGCTGGAGTTCCCAGGGGACATCCCAGCCAAGACAGCCACTGGGCCTCACCTGCGCCAGGGTGAACAGGTGCCGACAGTAGAAGAAAGCAGCTCCTGGTGGGCCAACAAGCTAGGTGTAGCTATTTTTATTGTGATTTTTAATTGCAATAAAAATAGCTAAAGGAAGAGAAAAAGAGCAACAAGAGGCTTTGGGGATATTGTTTTTCATTTTTACTTTTAGAGGAAACCATGGATTTGTCAGTTTCTATTATGTGAGTACCGTGAGAAGCTAAATAATTAAAAGCACTGCTTGCGATATATTGGGTGTATTTCCGTTGTGCTTATTTGAATTGGGGTTTGTTATAGTGCTGATCATAGGTCTAGTCCCCATCAAGCAGTATGTATGTCAGCTCCTCTAAGAGATCTTTTTTCTCTCCTTCCCTTCTTCCCTTCTCCTGTCTGTCTATCCGTCTGTCTCTCTCTCCCCACCACCCTACTCCCTCTCTCCTCTTTTTCTTCATTTATTTAAAGGCCTTTAAACAGTTTAAATGACCATTCAGTAAAATGGTTATGCCCTTCACAGGTTGTTGACAGTTGGTTCTGTGCCTCATGCCACCCTAGGTGTGCAGTTGTGGAGCACAACAGAACCTTTGTTGTGTTAGTGCACCCACGAGGTGCCTCACAAAAGCTCACTGTTGTTAGCAAGTTGGACTCTTTGACCCCAAAACATATGAGTGAGATGTAGTGTAGGTCGCCATGCTTAAACAGTCATATTCAATGTTATTTTTTAAAGGTTTTTAAAAAATATTATTTTTGGCCACGTCGGGTCTTGTGGCACGCGGGATCTTTCATTGCAGCACGCCGGCTTCTCTCTAGTTGTGGCGCATATGCTCAGTAGTTGTGGCGTGCAGGCTTAGTTGCCCCATATCATGTGGGATCTTAGTTCCGTGACCAGGGATCGAACCCACGTTCCCTGCGTTGGAAGGCATATTCTTAACCAGTGGACCACCAGGGAAGTCCCTATTTTTTGAAGGTTTTAAAACACATTTTACATATCACAAAAAATGTTTTGTCAGTTGTATAGTTTGCCAATAATACTTAGAGCTGAATTACAGGGGAGTGTCCATCTAACATTTAGGACAATACTTGAATTTATGACTTTTTAAATCTAGAAATTTATGAGATTTTAGATATTAAGAGATTTGGAATAGCTGACATTGAAACATGTGGAAGAATTAAGACCTCCAGAATGATGTCAAGAAAAGGAAAAGGATCTTATATTATTCTGTATGTGATTATTCCCCAGAGTTAGAGAAGTACAATATTTAAATCACCTTTTTCTTTTGTCCGACTGAAAGAAGGATCCTATGCATAGATAACATAATAGATGTGGAGTTCTGAAGATCCCCCACAGTGAGACAGGTATTTTTATCTGACCTGGGAGCCAGCTGTTTTCTGTATATTTTGGATATTAACCCCTTGTTGGTCGCATCATTTGCAAATATTTTCTCCCATTCCATTTTTTCCCCCCCCATAGGTTGTCTTTTCATTTTGTTGATGGTTTCTTTGCTGTGCAAAAACTTTTAAGTTTGATCAGGTTCCGTTAGTTTTACTTTTGCTTTTATTTTTTTTGCCTTGGGAGACTGATCCAAGAAAATATTACTATGATTTATGACAAAGAGTGTTTCACCTGTGTTCTTGGAGTTTTATGGTTTCATGTCTTACATTTAGGTGTCTTAGCCATTTTGAGTTTATTTTTGTATATGGTGTGTGGCAGTGTTCTAATATAATTGTTTTGCATGTGGCTGTCCAGCTTTCCCAGCACTATTTGTTGGAGAGACTGTCTTTTCTCCACTGTATATTCTTGCCTCCTTTGTCACAGATTAATTGACCATAGGTGTGTGGGTTTATTTCTGGGTTCTTTGTTCTGTTGATCTACGTGTTTGTTTTTGTGCCAATACCATGCTGTTTTGATTACTGTAGCTTTGTAGTATAGTCTGAAGTCTGGGAGGGTTACACCTCCAGCATTGTTCTTAGTTCTCAGGATTGCTTTGGCAATTTGGGGTCTTTTGTGGTTCCATATAAATTTTTGGATTATTCTAGTTCTGTGGAAAATGTCCTGGTGTTTTGATAGGGATTGCATTAAGTCAGTAGATTGCTTTGGGTAGTATGGCCATTTTATTTGTTTTTGTTTTTGTTTTTTTGCGGTACGCGGGCCTCTCACCGCTGCGGCCTCTCCCGTGGCGGAGCACAGGCTCCGGACGCACAGGCCCAGCGGCCATGGCTCACAGGCCCAGCCACTCCACGGCATGTGGGATCCTCCTGCACCAGGGCACGAACCCGTGTCCCCTGCATCGGCAGGCGGACTCTCAACCACTGCACCATCAGGGAAGCCCTGGCCATTTTAATAATAATGATTCTTCCAATCTAAAAGCATGGGATAGCTTTCCATTTCTTTGAATCTTCATTTTCCTTCATCAGTATTTTATAGTTTTCAGCATATAGGTCTTTCACCTCCTTGGTTAAGTTTATTCCTAGATATTTTATTCTTTTTGATGTGATTTTAAATGGGATTGTTTTCTCACTTTCTTTTTCTGATATTTCATTATTAGTGTATAGAAATATTTTGCATTTTGTGTATATTAATCTTGTATCCTGCAACCTTGCTGAATTCATTTATAAGTTTTAATAGTTTTGCGGTGGAGACTCTAGGGTTCCCTGTATAGAATATCATGTCATGGGCAAATATTACAGTTTCACCTCTTCTCTTCTAATTTGGATACCTTTTATTTTTCTTGTCTGATTGCTGTGTCTGGGACTGCCAATACTATGAGAGTACACATCCTTGTCTTGTTCCTGAATTTAGTAGGAAGCTTTCAGCTTTTCACCATTGGGTATTGTGTTGGCTGTGGGTTTGTAGTAAATGGCCTTTATTATGTTGAGATATGTTCCCTTCTCTATCCACTTTGATGAGAGTTTTGGGTTTGGGGGGTTTTTTTCCCCCTCAGCAAACAGAAGATCCTTTACTGAATCCTGAGTGTGAAAATCTACCATTTAGTTCTTTCTCCCTTCTCCCCGTGAGATTCAGTAATCCCTTGATTTGCACGGAACATTGGTGTGTCTGCTTGTTCTTGCTGTTGTGTCCATTTTGTTGTTCTGATGAGAGTTTTATCATGAATGGATGTTGAATTTTGTCAAATGCTTTTTGTGCATGTATTGAGATGATCATGTGGTTTTTGTCTTTCCTTTGTTAATGTGGTGTATCACGTTGATTGATTTGTGTGTGTTGAACCATCCTTGTGACCCAGGAATAAATTCAACTTGATCATGCTATATGATCCTTTTAATGCACTGTTGGATTCAGTTTGCTAATATTCTTTTTTTTTTTTTTAACATCTTCATTGGAGTATAATTACTTTATAATGGTGTGTCAGTTTCTGCTTTATAACAAAGTGAATCAGTTATACATATACATATTTCCCCATATCTCTTCCCTCTTGCATCTCCCTATCCCACCCCTCTATGTGGTCACAAAGAACTGAGCTGATCTCCCTGTGCTATGCGGCTGCTTCCCACTAGCTATCTGTTTTACGTTTGGTAGTGTATATGTGTCCATGCCACTCTCTCACTTTGTCACAGCTTACCCTTCCCCCTCCCCGTATCCTGAAGTTCATTTTCTAGTAGGTCTGCATCTTTATTCCTGTCTTGCCCCTAGGTTCTTCATGACCAATTTTTTTTTCTTTTTTTTTAGATTCCATATATATGTGTTACCATATGGTATTTGTTTTTCTCTTTCTGACTTACCTCACTCTGTATGACAGACTCTAGGTCCATCCACTTCACTACAGATAACTCAGTTTCATTCCT